AGCAACGAGTTGTGTAAATAGAGTCCATGGATGGGAGGTTGGTTTCTGTGATGGTCTGGGCTGTGCACACAACTGTCTGTCACTTCTTACGGTCCTGGGCAGAGAAGTTGCCGTGCCAGAGCGTTATGCACAGGGATAGAATGCTTTCTATGGTGCATCTGTAAAAGTTGGTGAGCGTTCTTATGGAGATGCCAAATTTCCTGAGCCGCCTGAGGAAGAAAAGGCGTTGTTGTGCCTCCTAGATTGTCACATCTGCGTGGGAAGTCCAGCACAGGTTGTTGGTTATTGTCACTCCTAGGAACTTGACCCTCTCAATCCTTTCAACCTGTGCTCCATTGATGTAGATGGGGGCATGTTCTCCTCCTTTCTTTCTGAAGTCAATGATCAGTTCTTTAGTTTTGCTGATGTTGAGAGAGAGGTTGTTATCGTTGTGCCATGTCATCAAGCCCTCTATCTCCTTTCTGTATACTGACTCATGGTTGTTTGGTATTTGTCCATCCATTGTGATGTCATCAGGCTCTGAAGTAGCAAATTAATAGTGATTTAATGGCCTCGCTGCACTATGTTACCCATTGGAGTGGAAGGATCAGGCCAAGTAGGTAAACTGGCAGCTTTCACTGCATGGGCTTCAACCTGAATGCTGCTGGGACTACAGGGGTGTTGGCCAATCAGATTGGCTAGCAGCTGTAATGTGTAACCTTCTGCTCGGATTGAGACATAAATTTGGTCTGGACAGTCAGCTCTGATGTGGGCAAGATCCTGGCTAAAATTTCAGTCGAGGTAGGGAGGAGATAGGGAACACAGCACTCAATAAAACCCCACCCCTATTAGGCTAAAGCACCATCTAATGCAGAGGAGCCACCCGATTTTAATAAGTTACAAATGAAATGTTTTTCTATGAAATTAATCTTCTGTGCACTAAAACAAGCAGAAAGGCCATTAATCACTCTGCAGATCTCTCTGCAATTTGAGCCGAATTCTCCACTGCGGTGATTAAAAGTGACATTCAGTTTCTTACAGAAGTCACAAAGTGTACATGCTGACAGGATCACAGTGAAGACAGACCTCATGCTCATTATTCTCACCTCATGAAACTCCGGCCATTTACAATAGGCAGAGTACTGACTGTACTCAACTTGCCTCTGCTTGCAAAACTCACAACATATTGTTCAATATCAAATCGGATCCATAATTGGACAGTGCTTCTAGAACAGTCTTAAGTGTGTTAAGAATTTGCTAACAATCAATTTAAGATTATCGGTTGCATGTCACTTACACTTGCTTGAAGCTACATATATAAATACACAGGACCCTGTTCTCTGCAGAGGTGAAGAATGTGTCCAGTCATTGCACTTTCTTCAAAAAAGCAAAGGTACAGACAAACAACTGTTCCCTGGTACATTCCCTAGGGCAATGTCTGTATCAGAGTTGACTTATTTTGTTTAAACAAGATCTTGGGGATAACTATTCCCTCGTGCAAAGCCCATTTGCTAAGCAATCAGCACCTTTATTTCATACTTATAAGTTGTTGTTCCCTTTGAAATTGGTCTTCTTGCCTCTTTTCCAATGAGTGCAAGATGAAAAATTTCCACGCTGAGTCTCTTTTTTCAGCAATATTCAAGTTCTTGTAGATGAAATAGAGTTGTAGAGTTGTAGAGATGTACAGCACAGAAACAGACCCTTCAGTCCAACTCGCCCATGTCGACCAGATATCCTAAATTTATCTAGTCTCCTTAACAACCATTTTGTCCACATCCTTCTAAAACCTTCCAATTCATATACTCATCCAGATGCCTTTTACATGTTGTAATTGTACCAACCTCCACCACTTCTTCCGGCAGCTCATTCCATGTATGCACCACCCTCTGCATGAAAAAGTTGCCCCTTCGGTCCCTTTAACTCTTTCCCCTCTCACTTTAAACCTATGCCCTCTAGTTTTGGACTCCCCTACCCTGGGGAAAAGACCTTTGCTATTCACCCGATCCATGCCCCTCATGATTTTATAAACCTCTACAAGGTCACTCTTCAGCCTCCGATGCTCCAGGGAAAATAGCCTCAGCATATTTAGCCTCAAACATATAAGTCAAACCCTCCAACCCTGGCAACATCCTTAAAAATTTTTCCTGAACTCTTTCAAGTTTCACAACATATTTCCTGTAGCAGGGAGACCAGAATTGAATGCAGTATTCCAAAAGTGGCCTCACCAACATCCTAAACACCCACAACATGACCTCCCAACTGCTATACTCAATCCACTGATAACTAAAGGCAAGAATACTAAAAGCTTTCTTCACTATCCTGTCTACCTGTGACTCCACTTTCAATGAACTATGAACCTGCACTCCAAGCTCTCTTTGTTCAGCAACACTCCTCAGGACCTTACCATTAAGTGTATAAGTCCTGCCCTGATTTGCGTTTCCAAAATGCAGCACCTCACATTTATCTAAATTAAACTCCATCTGCCACTCCTCGGCACATTTGCCCATCTGATCATTCTGAGGTTGTACTCTGAGGTAACCTTCTTCACTGTCCACTACACCACCAATTTTGGTGTCATCTGCAAACTTACTAACTGAATCTCTTATATTCATAAAATGTAAATTAGACTGTGAACACTGTTACCTTTGTAAAACTCAACCAAGCTTTCATATTGGTCTTAGCTGTTGAAACAAATCCTGGGATATGTAATCAATAGAGTCCATTGAAACTGAAAACGAGCTAGTTTTATTTCTTAAGATATAGCAGATGTCCTGTCAATCAAAGCAATCCTGGAAAGTGTAGCTGTTCAAGGTTTTTTTTTTCAATTTAAAGAGCTCTGGATATTTCACCCTCCAAATTATTACACTGGAGATTCTAAATACTGTTCAGAAAGCAGAAGAGTACTTTTCCCAATGGGAAGAATTAGTCTATTGCATCTGAAGCCTTAAGTTATATTCGTTACTATGATGTTCAAATTGTAATACATTTAAAATATGAGTATAAAAAGTGACATTTTGAACTTGTGAAAACATATATACGAGGGGGCATAGTTTTAAAGTGAGTGGAGATAGATATAGGGGAGACATCAGAGGTAGGTTCTTTACTCAGAGTGGTAGGGGCGTGGAATGCAATGCCGGAGAGGGTAGTGGAGCCGACTCCATTAGGGGCATTTAAGCGGCTATTAGATAGGCATATGGATGATAGCATAAGGTAGGAGTGGAGGTTAGATAGACCTTAGGTTTAGGGTAAAAGTTCGGCACAACATCGTGGGCCGAAGGGCCTGTACTGTGCTGTATTGTTCTATTGTTCTATGTCTATATCCAAATCATTTATATCAATGACAGAACTCTGTGGATTCAGCACTGATCTTTGCAGCATAGGCATCCAGTCCAAACAACACCGTCACCCTCTGTCTCCTATCTTCAAGCCAATTTTGTATCCAAATGGCTAGCTCACCCTGGATTCCATGTGATCTAACCTTGCTAACCAGTCTACCATGCAGGAGCTTGTTGAGCACCTTGCTGAAGTCCATATAGACAACATCCACTGTTCCACCCTCATCAATCCTCTTCGTCACTCCTTCAAAACACTCAATTAGGTTAGACAGACACGATTTCCCACGCACAAAGCCATGTTGACAATCCCTAATCAGTTCTTGCCTTTTCAAATAGATGTAAATCCTGTCCCTCAGAATCCCCTCCAACAACTTACCCACCATTGACATCAGGCTCACCGGTCTATAGTTCCCTGGCTTTTCTTTTCAACATTTCTTAAATAGTGGCACCACGTTAGCCAACTCCAGTCTTCCAGCACCTCACCCATGGCTATCAAGGATACAAATATCTCAGCAAGGGGCCCAACAATCACTTCCCTAGTTTCCCAAAAAGTTCTGGGGTACACCTGATCAGGTCCTAGGGATTCACCCACATTTATGTGTTTTAAGACATCCAGCACCTCCTCCTCTGTAATATGGACAATTTTCAAGATATCAGTATTTATTTTGTAAGTTCTCTAGCTTCCATATCCCTCTCCATAGTAAACACTGACACAAAATACTCAGTTACTATCTCACCCATCTCCTGCAGTTCCACACGAAGAGTGGCTTTGTTGATCTTTGTAAGGGGCCCTATTCTCTCCCTAGTTACTATTTTGTCCTTAATGTATTTGTAGAACCTCTTGGGATTCTCCTTAACCGTATTTGCCAAAGCTATCTCATGTCCCCTTCTTGGCTTCCTGATTCCTGTCTTGAGAATGCTCCTACTGCCATCATATTCTTCTAGGGATTCACTCAATCCCAGCTGTCTATACCTGGTATATGCCTCCTTCTTTTTCTTGACCAGAGCCTCAATTTCTCCAGTCATCCAGTATTCCCTACACCAACCATTCCCTACACCATCTCCCACTTTCCAGCTGTCCCTTTACCTGTGAATAGCCTCTCCCAATGAACTTTTGAAAGTTTTTGCCTAATACGGTCAAAATTGCCTCCATCGAATTTAGAACCTTAAACTTTATGGTCCAGTTCCCTTTATTTCTTACAGCAGTGATTAACTGTGGTAACATTGAACAAAACATATAAAAGCAATCATTTCAAAGTTACAGTGTAGGATAATACACCCACTGGCTCAAACAGCCATTATAACCTAAAAGCAAGCAAGGAGCTGGTTGGATGTATTGTTGGAAGTTTCACGCTAAGAACTCCCGTGTCCAATAACCTGGTTAAAGAGCCTTATTTTCAATTTTCAATATTTCCAAAACTAATAAACAAAAGTCTTCAAAGGAAATAGAAAAATAATTTCTTAATATGCCATTGATTTTTCTCCTGGTTTGCAGTGCCCAGAAGATTAATGTTCAATTCCTGAAGTCTCCAGATCAATTCTGGATGGTTGGCAGCCCTAACTATTAATGGTGAAGGAGTTGATTAATGTCGCTGCTGCTCAGTTTAATTCTTGTGTTTTTTTTTCTCCTAGATCGGAAGTTTCTCATTACCAACGTTCGGATGAAAAATTGTGCCATTATCTTTTGCAACGATGGCTTTTGCGAAATGTTCGGCTACTCCAGGGTAGAGATCATGCAGAAACCGGGCACCTGTGACTTTCTGACCGGACCAGCCACACCGGAGAGTGCAATGGCACAGCTGGCACAAGCCCTACTTGGATCAGAGGAGATGAAAGTAGAACTGCTGTATTACAGGAAGGATGGTAAGGGCATCTGGGCTGTGCATCTTTGTGTCAGTGTTAGAAATCAGGGTCAACTAGAACAGTTCCAGGACTGATTTGAGAGCAACAGATTCCCATTGTACTTTGCGATTAAGAGCTGGGTTCTTCCCCAGTAGGAAGGGGCATTGTCTTCTGAACAGGGAAAGTGTGCAGAAGGGAAAGGTGGAAACTGATGTTTGTGCTAAATTGTGGGTTTACTATAAAACCCTTGTAAAACTCTGAAAGTCTTTTCCAGCCTAATTTTAGGTCTGGCCATCAGTCTGATAAATACCTGCTGATCAGTGAAAAGGGCTGATAGTGGGATGGGAGGTGGGGAGAATTGTAAGGCTGGTGGGCAGCTGTTTCAAGACACCATTAGGCTCCCAAACAAAGTACTGCAGGATGTGAAGGTGAGAAGTTCTCATCCTCTCAAGTCTGTATAGGGAATTAAAGTCTTCTGGATTAGACTGACAGCTCTCTCAATTTCAACAAAATTTCCCTACATCTTGGTCAGGAGGACTTTGTAGAATCAGCTAGGCCAGATGTACCTCAGTCATTTCTGATGTCTAGATCACTGTTGGATGATCTATTCAGTTTTATTCTTATTTAGCTTTTCTTTAACAGTCTAAACAACGTTTTAGCTTGCTAGGCCATTTCAGAGATCAAACCATTGTCAACAAAATTGCTGTGCATCTGGGGTCATACCTAGGCCTGAACCAGACCTCCTTTTCTCAAGGGTACTCTTGAACCAGATGGAAGTTTTGTGACAAGTAGGTTCATGAGCATCATCACTGAGACTAGGTTTGAAATTCCAGATTTATTTATTAATTGATGCAGTTACCTCATGTTGCTGAAGCATTCATTCAACTTCTAGACCACCAGTTCGTTAATGTTTCTGCTGTGTTACCATGTGGAGCTGGAACAATACCATGAGTTCTATAGGTTTACTGTTACTGAAACAGATATCTCTGGCTTAAGGGAGAATCTGATAGTGGGCACCATACAAATGCTGTTTGTGAACTGCAGTAATAAGTGTGGGTTAACTAATAAACTAACTATACAGGAAACACTCCAAACTGTTCTGATTTTCATTTCAGGATGTGGTGGGGTGCTGCTAACTAAGGGTGGTCCCTCTGCCCCTGGACACATGTGGCCACAAGGGATGCTGGTTGCCAAGGGATGGGACGGGGAGGCGGGGGTGATGGTAGAGGGGAAGCCCACCTCATTTTTCCAGTTGGAATCAAAACAGTAAAAAGCCACCTAGCCTTTACCCTCTTTGCACTCCCAATGCCCTCCATTCCTGTTGATGCCAGCTCTTGCATCCATCCCCATAGAATCTCAAATGCTCCATACCAGCCTATACCCCTCTACTTAAGTTCCATGACCCCTTATATCTTCCATGCTACCTCATGCTACATCTTTCCAAAAGCATGTATAGCCTCTATGCCAACTTGTTGCCAACTCATGCTAAACCATGATCCCTAACCCTCGACCCCTTTGCCCTTATGTCCTTTGTGCCAGCTCACCAGTGTCCACAACAGGCTGTGACAGGAGCCATGGTAAGCTGTAATGAAGTTCCAAATATCAATTTACAAAACTAAAAAGCACACATATTGATAGAAGTCCATTCAATACCTTTGAATCCATTCAAATACTTAATAAAAAAAAACAAAAATGCCTTCCAGTACTTCATCCTTTATTAAAAACAAACAAACATTTATCTTTCAATCCTCCCCACATCAAAGACAGATAATCTGTTTATGACTGTTTAGTGCTGTGTCGAATAAACTGTGAATCTACAGATTTTGGAGGCAATTGAGAAACTCTACTCTCATACTGATAACCCTTAGGCTTTTGGTTGAAATGCAACCATCCAGGAACTTATTTTTTCAGCTGCAGGCTTTTATTAATTTCAAAATTTAAAGAACAGGAAATTTAAAATTCTCGACAGATTGGTCATTCAACAGGTCAGATTCACTTTTTGTGCAAATTAATATCAGTTCTCAACTATCCTAATCTGGACCTGTCAAAATGCATCACTTACCTCTCACAAAGGGTACCTCACCTCTCCAAATGATACCAGCAGCTTTAAACCATTTTGTTAACTTTCCAAAGACTATGAGTTATATTTTAGACCAAAAGAAATAGCAACAGAAGTAGACCTTTTTGCCCCACGAGCCAGCTCTGCCATTCAATAGGATTATGGCTGATCCATCATTCCCCGCATTCTCTTTCCCACATTTTCCTCATAATCCTTGATTAAATATCTATCTCAGCCTTAAATATACACATGACCTCTGCCCCCACTGCTGTCTGTGACAAGGAGACCAAAGACTCTCAAACCTCTGAGAGAAGAAATTCCTCCTGATCTGTCTTAAATTGGTGCCCCTTTATTCTGAGACTATACCCTCTGGCCCTAGGCTCTCCCATAGGGGGAAAGATCCTCTCAGCCCCTTAAGGTTTCTATATGTCTTAATGAGATCACCTCTCATTCTTCTAAACTGCAGTGTGTAAAATTCTAACCCATTTAGCCTTTCTGCATAAGACAGTCTATCCATGCCAGGGATGCTCCCAGTGAACCTTTTGGAAATCCTGGTAAATTAGCATCTGATTGAAGGAAAAATATACTTCTGCTCTACGAATAGCAGATGTGTAAAACACACCCATACTACCCCAACCCCCAAAAATAAACTCTGCCAAAAATAACCAATGCCAAGTTTAGGGGAAGGACTTGAAGCTTCTGGCCTCTGCAGCCATTTGAGGTAAGGCATGTAGCCCTCCCATGGAAATTCAGGTCCAATAGGAGATGCCAACTTCTTCCAAACTTACCCAGAACCTTTAGAAACAACACAATGTGGAGCGGGACTCTTCCTGACCCGAAACATCAACTTTCCTACTCCCCTGATGTTGCCTGGCCTGCTGTGTTCCTCCAGCTCCACACTGTGTTGTTTCTGACTCCAGCAAGGCAGTTCTTGCTATCTCCAAAACCTTTACAGTCTATTTTTCTTTTCTTGTTTTGCACTGCCTTTGCACTGAAAACAAATCCTGGAGAAATTCCAAATTTTGAAATTTGCAGTACAAGCTGAATTCAGTAATCCCTCATCACGCCTCAGTAACAATGAATGGTATACACTGTAAGCATGAACAATTCACAGGAGAACTGTCAACATTGAGAATTATTTTTTAAATTTCCCTCCCCATTCCTGACTCTTTAAGAAGTCATTTCCGATCATGATGAATAATCTCAAATCCTCAAAGTTGAATACATTTATTTTGTTGCCTACATTGCCAACACTATGACATTCTGACGCACTACAAAGCTCCTGTATACTATTCCAGCATTGCAACCAAGCTCTATGTTTGAAAGACCCTCTATTCAATTCTACCAGGGTGAACTTACCAGTTCTTTTGTATCCCATGACTTTTGTTGAACAAGATTGAAAAGTCAGTCAATGGAATAGGGCTTGACTTTGTCCAATAGCCACAAGAAAGGCGAGCTGTTGACTCTCTATGACCTATTTTACACTACAGAACCAAGGCAAAGTTACCCTAATTGGAGGTCATATGTGCTTGAACTGGCCCAAGTCCAGTAAATCAAGGAATCTTACAGTCAGCACAATAGGAAGATTTCCACTCCAAATTCAGGTAGTACAAGAAGGTACAGCTTGCCTCTTCAAGCTTTCAATTGGCAGGACTTGGTACATTAGTATAAATTAGTATGCAGCTACAGCACGTATTTAGGGAAGTTAATAGAATTTTATTGTTATTGTGAGGGGAATTGAATATAAAAATGAGGTTATGCTTCAATTATAAGGTGAGACTGCATCTGGGGTACGGTGAAGATTATTGGTCTCCTAGTTTCATGAAGGATGTAAATGCATTGAAAGTAGTTCAAAAAGGAATGTTATTGGATGAAAACCTGGAATAAGCAGGTTGTCTTAGAAGGGAATGTTGAACAAGCTAGAGCTAGGCTTGTATCCACTGAGATTTACAAGAGTAAGATATGACTTGATTGAACCATTTAATATCCTGAAATCTTGGCAAGGTGGATGTTGATGGAATGTTGCGTTATGGGAAAATCTACATTTGGAGTCATTTTTTAAAAGTTAGGACAGAGATGAGGAGGATTGTTTTTCTCACAGAAGGTTGTGATTTTTTAGAGTTTGCTTCCTCAAAGAGGAGTGTAGACAGAGCTCTTGAATAAATTCAAGGGAGAGGCAGATAGGGATAAAAGAAAGGGATAAAACGTTTTGGGGTAGGTGAGAATGTAGAGTAATCAAATCAGCCATGACCTTATTGAATGGCAGAGCAGGATTTAGGGGCCAGGGGCCTACTCCAGCTCCTAATACATGTATCTGTGTCAAAAGTCACACCAACAGGTTTATTTGAAATCACAAGCTTTCGAACCACTGCTCCTTCATCAGGTGAAGTGAGATGGTGCTATTGTACAATGTACAGGTGATACATGATATTGCCAAATTGTTCTGGTATCAAACCAGACTTCTGTTGTTACTCGGTTTTTATTTTGCAATAAAATTGATTAATGTCTATGATGTCCTTGCATGTTCCATTAATATTTATATTTGCAGGCCTCAGCTCTTCTCCAAAGCCAGAAACTAGAGTAGTTATCAGTCTGTGGGTTCTGACAGCTCTCCCTAAGTGAAGTTGGCCACTAGACCTGAGTCTATCTGAGCAGTGTGCAGGATCCCAGCCTACATCTGTGTGATTCAGTCATTGCTACAGTTTAGAAACATTTCCTCCAGCAGGCAATTACCATAATCAAGTTTGTTTCTTGCTGGTCTTAAAATAGGCTGGAAGATGTTTTTTATACTTGTTTTTTAAGCAAGTTTCCCAAGACAAACTGTTCCCTGTGAAAGGGCCTGCAGTGACAGACAAAAGCAAACAGGGAGTATAATCACATCAACTCGGCTTCATTTTGATTGCCATGACAATTCAAAAATGGCGATTGCAAAACTTGTCTTTCTTCAGGGTGTAAAAGTATT